GAAGACGCCAACAGCAATCCGGGCGGGCCAGGGCGGCTTCTCCCGTTGGCATCGTTCAATCCGTCCCACCCTTGGAAAGCCAAATTCCTTCCATTGAGCAACCGTTTCCATTGGAAGCCAAGTGGCTTCAACGTGGGTTAACGTTGGCGCCAAGTTTGCCCATCCAGCAAAATGAACCCTGCCCAGCTCTTTCTCCGAGGTTGCGGGGCGCGGGGCTCCCTCCAGCTAACCCCAATAGCGGCGACCGGATTAAATCTTGCCCTCCAAAGTGCCCGGGTGCCCTGAAGGAAGAAGCCCTTGTCCGGTGTGATTTGCCCAAGAACAATTCTGGGAGTCCCACATCCATCTCTTCTTCTCCACCGACCCTTTGCTACCAATCCCAGTTCTGAAATTCTGATTTTTTTCCCCCTCTTTCCCCCTTTGCGTGTTTCCAGAAAGGGGGCTGTAAATGTAATAATACATTTACAGAATAAATACAGGCCAGTGTTTCTTTTTATCTGACTTCTCTTCGATTAGCCGTTTTCTGGCTTCAACCCCGAGCAAGTGAATTTTCTCCCTGTAGTAAGCCACAAGGAACGGCTCCCCGGACCAATTTAGACCCACTGGCTCCTGCAGGACCCGATAATTAACTGGACGGGGACATTTCAGTTCCGATTTAGACTTGCAAAGAATCCGGAGAGCTCCCAGACCCGATTTTCCCCTGGGCTATTCGTATGCACTTGTGAAAAAGCAGGAAAAAAGCAGGGCCAATTATCCTTTCCCTTCTAAAAAGAAAAAGAAAACCTCTCTATTTCATTGCGCTGATGTTTTACATTGAAACAGAATAGGGTTAAAAAAAAAAACACCAGGAGATAAATAAAATGATGACCGTAGCCTCCTTCTTTAATTTTGCACGGTGGGGCGGATTAAATTTTTCATGAATTTCCACTCAAGGGATGTTGAAAGGCTGCCTGTATTTTAGGCTCCCTTTTGAAAGCTTCTGCTACAAAATCCTGAATGACAATTAAAAATTTAAAAGCTTCGGCACAAGGGCACGCGCTGCATTTCGATTTGACGGGCGGGGGGACAGAGCACCCTGCGCTGAATGGAAGAG